TGGGTGCACTTACATACATGCAGGCAAAAACACCCATACACATAAAATAAAAATAAAAAGTTAAAAACAAAACAAAACAAAAGCAATATCTAGGTACTATTTAAAATATGAAAGAAAGGTGGCACCTCTGGGGCAGGTGACTGTTTTTTTAAAATTTATTTATTTCTATGTGTATTAGTGTATTGTGTGCATGTATGAAAGTGCACCTGTGTCATGCAATGTCCACAGAAGTCACAAGAGGGTGTTGGATCCCCTGGAATTACAAATGGTTGTTAGCTGCCAGGTGGGTGCTGGAAATTGAACCAGGTCGTCTGCAAGAGCAGCCAGTGTTCTTAACCACTGGGCCATCTCTCGAGCCCCAACTATTTGTTTTAAAGCTTTCATTAGAATTATGACTTCAAAAATTATTATTAATGTGTGTGCATGCATGCATACATGGGAATATGAGAATATCACAGTACTAATGTGGAAGTCAGGTACAACCTTAGGTATCTTCTTCACCTTCCTCTTTATTTAGGACATGGTTTCTCGGTCACTGCTGTGTATGCCAAACTATTTGGCCCCTGAGTTTGGGGCAATTCTCCTGCCTTGGCTTCCCTTCCCACAGCTGGGATAAAAGATGCTGGTCTATCACCTCCAGCTTTTACATGGGTTTTAGGAATTTGAACTCAGACTTGTCTGGCAAGCCCTTTAACCAATGCAGAACCTCCTCAGCCCTTAAAAAAAAAACAAAAAACTTTTAAAATGAGCTACATAAGCCAGATATGATGGCACACGCCTTTAATTCCAGTACTCAGGAGGCAGAGGCAGGTGGATCTCTGTGAGTTTGAAGCCAGCTAGGGCTGCAGGGAGACCCTGTCTCAAAAAGACCAAAAAAAAAAAAAAAAAAAACCCTCAAAAAGAGCTACATAAATACTAGGTGTGGTAAGGAACCGATAGTAAGTGAAGTTGGTAAGTGAAGGATAATGCTGGACTTGTATAGTTGAGAACCACCACCTTACTTTGCACCAGTGCAGTTCTGCCTGAGAAAAGGAAACATTTTAAATATGGTTATACATAGGGTACCTATAAAATTTATCATCCAAACAGTCAACCCTGGGAAAGGGGTATACCAATAATAATCACACAGGAACAATAGGTCAACAGTTTCAGGAAAGGCAGGACTTAGGTCACTACAATTCAAACCTAGATAGAAATCTCTTTAAGCCAACAAAAAGATGCTAGGAAACTTTAATTCAAAATCAGGTACCACTGTTTATGGAGTAGTCACTCTATACCAGGCATCATAGTTGGCAATAAGGATACAAAAATAAATAGGTGCTACACACTTGTAACCTTAGCAGTCCAGAGGCTGAGGCAGGAGGAACAGAAGTTTGAAGGCATGTCAGCTATAAAGTAAGACTCTTTATCCTAAAAAAAAAAGCCAGGCCTGGTGGCTCACACCTTTAATCCCAGCGATTGGGAGGCAGAGGTAGGCAGATCTCTGTGAGTTCAAGGCCAGCCTGGTCTACATAGTGAGTTCTAGGACAGCTGGGGCTACAGGGAGACCCTGTTTCAAACCACCACCCAAAAAAGGTAACTATAGAAACTGAGTAAACAAGGGACCAGGCAGGTATGTAAATACAATCAAGTAAAATGTATATATGAAAACGCTACCATGAAACCTATCTTTTTTTTTTTTTTTGGTCTTTTTGAGACAGGGTCTCCCTTGTAGCCCCAGCTGTCCTGGAACTCACTATGTAGACCAGGCCGGCCTTGAACTCACAGAGATCTGCCTGCCTCTGCGTCCCGAGTGCTGGGATTAAAGGCGTGTGCCACCATTCGTTTTGTACAATTAATATACACTAACAAAGGGTGGGGGTGGAGCGGAGTAAGTGAGAAAAAAATTTAACCTGCGTATTTACTTCCATCTAGCTCTCTTCTTTATTCAAAGACAACATTATTTCACGGTTTCTCTCCCATACTCTAGGATAAAGAAGCAGTAAAAACTGGACATGGAGCTGGGTGGGACAGTACAGACCTATAGTGTCAGCTAATGAAGAGACTGAGGCAGGAGTTGAAAGCCAGCCTGGGCACCAGAGACCCTGGCCAAAGCCAAATCCAAAAACAACAAAACCGAAATAAGTCAAAGTAATTCACTGCCTTACTGGAGGTAAGACAGGAATTCTCTACATTAAAAAAAAATTGGGGCTGGAGAGATGGCTCAGCAGTTAAGAGCACTGGCTGCTCTGGCAGAGGAACAGGGTTTGGTTCTGAGCACCCGCATGGCGGTTCACAACTCCAGTTCCAGAGGATCCAACGCCCTCTTCTGACCTCTGTGAGCACTGCACAACACAGGTGTACTTTACATGCAGGCAATACATTCATACACATAAAATAAAAATAATTAAAAAATATTTTTTTAAAAGCAAAACTTTGGAATCACAGAAAACTGCTGTTAGTCTTGAACAATTCAGAACAAAAAACCCAGCCACACTGAAAATCACCACCCTTTACCCCTCAAAACAACCAGAAATCCATGATGGGTAAACTTTTGTTTTCCCAGTGATCAGTATGTCAATTAGTAGTTAAAAATAACAATTATGAATGGACTGGACATCTGACTAGGTATCTGTGAGTAGAAGACAGCAAAGACCAAACCTGTAGCTTTCATGATCCACTACTACCACCTAGGATTTCGTAACGCTAAAGACAGGTACTGCAAACCTGTTTTAGTCTTAGATGCTTTAACTTGAAAAAACAAAAGGTAGGACTGGCCTAAGCTTAAATGTCTTGAGAATTATAAAAGCTCAGTAGGTTAAGATGCTTGCTGTTCATACCTGGGGACTTGAGTTTGATCCCCAGAACTCAGTAAGAGTGAATATGAACAATTCCACGACTCCACAAAGTTATCCTCTGACCTCCACATAAGTGCTGTGGCACATACACTCACAATTTTTAAATTATAAGAGTAAATTCTTTTATAAAAATAATTTATATTTATCATTATTATTTAATTTTATTTGTATGAGTGTATTACCCGCATATAGGTAAGTGCACCTATGTTGTGCAATGCCTGCGGGGGACAGAAGAGGCTGTTGGATCCCCTGGAACTGGAGTTACAGACAGTTGTTAGCTGTCATGTGTGTGCTGGGATTCAAACATGGGTGTTCTGCAGGAACACCCAGTGTTCCTAACCACTGAGCCATCTCTTCAGCTCCCAAGAGAGTAAATTCTTTTTTAAAAAAAAAAAGAAAAGTAAATTTTAGGCATTATGAAAAACTGTTTTATCTGCCCCCCCCCAAAACCTTGTGGCTTTTAGGATCCATACAAGGGACTGACACACTAGTAAACAGTCTCTGCCATTAACCGTATCCCTAGTCTCTAAGTGTGATTTGGGCTGAATCTATTTTCTGATCTCCAAAAGCACACAGGAGTCAACCTTCCATATCCATGATTCAACTTACTGCAGACTGAAAATATGATAGCGAAAAAAGATCACACCTACTCTGGACATGAAAAAACTAACATCATTCATTCTCTAAACAATAACTATACACACATCATTTACATCATAGTTAGTATTCTACTGGTGATTTAAAATACAGTTCGCACAAAAGTTCTGAGCAAATATCCCATCATTTAAAGGCTTGTCCAACTGGGGATTTGGTATGCTTGAGGGGGGAGGGCTTCCTGGAGCCACCCCCTAAGATAGCAGTACAAAAGGATGACTATTTCAGATAAAAGATTTAATGCTTTAGACATGTCTCCTCAAAGTGTATAATGTTGATTGGTTTTAGGACTTAAATTATGAAAATTAAGAAATGTTATTTGCACGAACCCGATGAACTTTAGACTAGAAAAAACACCAAAGTGTATAATATAATTCCAGGATCGAAGGCTCAAGTGGGGGCTTCTGATTGGAAGTGTACCCCAGAAACCACGAGGCAATAAAAGCCTCATAGTCAGATACTCCCCAGGTTTTTTTTAATCAAATATAAATGTTGACAGTGAGACTGTACTTTACCTAGAATAAATTAACCAATGAAAAAAATTTTTTTAAATTTATGGTCAGCATTCATCTGCCATACAGTTTGGTTTTTAATAAAATGCAGGAGACTCTATTTTACTTTCAAGTATCTAATACATTTTGCCTAAAAGATGCACAAGCATATTTCATATGAACGGCAAATAACCAACTTTTATTGCTTTCAGTAGATCAATTTTCATCGACTGCTGGACGGATTGACCAGCCTCACTATGAAGTCCAGGATGGTCTGAAACTGGTGATTTTCCTCATGCTGTGGTTACAGGCATGAGCTCGGACTGTAGAGATCAAGTTGTAAGATAATATACAGAGCTGCTATTTGGTCGGGACTGACCTACGTTAGACATTTCCGACAGCATCAGAGAAGACCATCAAATCTGTTCAAATAATAAACTACTACTACAAAAAAAAGTCTTTAATCATGCGCGATTATAAAGCGGCTAAGCGCCCAATCTGGGAGAGTTGCAACTTCTGAGCTCTTTCCCGAACACGTGCCCGGGTTATTCTAGCTACAAGGAAACTGGGTCTGGGACATCCCAGCAGCCGACGGTTGCCGGAGCCTGCGGCGTAGGTCTGGCACCCACCCGGGGCCTAGAGCAAGGAGCAGCGCTGAGCGGGAGCGTTCTCACCCCCCGGGCCCGCACAGCATCGCCGCGGAGACTCGCGCACAGCCCCGGCCCCTCCTTCCCGCAGGGCAGGGATGTTGGGGGAGCCGGGGCGGCATCGTGGGGCTGCGCGGGGCCGGAGTGCGTGCGTGGGAACACCGCCGGACGCAGCAAGGCGGGAGTCGGCGCGCGGGACGCTCTCAGGGCGGGAAGGCGCCAGGCTGCAGGGCGCGCGGGGCGGGGAGTGCGCGGGTGGGCGCAGCGCGGGTAGCACGGCGGGGCCGGGCCGGAGCGCCCGCGAGGGACTAGGGCGCCGCGGGCGGGCTATTATGGGATGGTGGGTTCCCGGGGTGCCGCGCGGCTCTTACCCGCCAGTTGCTGTACAGCCGTTTAACTCGCCGGTAGTACGCGTCTTTGTCCAGAGTCACAGCCATTGCCCGGACGCCGCTTCCCCTCGGGCTCTGAGAATCACGCGAGGTCCCAGCACCGCCACCCGCGTTCGGCCCGGAATCCCGCACTCTCCGTGACCCGGAAGTACCGACCACACAGGGCTCTTTCCGCTTCCGGGTCCCAACAGCGCCTAGGACTTTTTTAAAAAGCCTCTTTCGGAAGGATGGAAGGCGAGCATAGGAAGAGACAAAAGTGAGGCGCAGGCCGGACGTACTGAGCGGAGTCGGGTTTTGTGGGTTTCTGCCGCCGCCTGGCGAGGGCCGCCGTCACGTGACCCCGCCCCGCCCTCGGGGCACCGAGCAGCAAAGGTGGGGGGCCGCGTCGCGCCTGCCTCGTGCGCGGCCGAGCCCCGGAACGGAGGGGGCAGAAAGAGCGAGTGGGGCGAAGACCCGGCGGCGGAAGCACTCTCCGCTGCCCCGGGCCGGCGTGTCCACGCCTGTGGTTGTACAGCTCGGTGCTGGGTCTGGAGCTCTGCGCGCTCACTACTGGCACCTTAAGTGGAGGACTTAGCTTTGGAGGGAAAACCAACCTGCAGACGACGGGATGGTAGGACGGTGGAAGGAAACAAATGGCTGAGGGGGCCCCCCAAACCCTTGGTTCTTGCCAGCCCCGCGGGGGCCCAAGTTAGGACAGCACCCTTTCGACCAGCCAATGCCTTTGCTAAATTGCATGAAAGCAACACCCTTCTGTGGCTTCCCGTAAGCATGGTTATTTCAGTTAATTCAAACAAAATGCACGTGGTTCTTGAAATTCGTCCTCGCCTAGAACTTGAAGTTCAACCCAAAACATTTTGCTTATTTACTTTAGGTCATTCTCTTGGCCTTAGCAAATGGGATCGTCCACATTTATATATCACCTCACATGCATATACATGACTTCTATTTGTGATAACAGTATTGAACTAGAAGAATGGTGTTGAAATTACTCACCATGCTCACAATTGGCACTTAAATCGTGTTTGAGCAAGTATAGAACAAGGGAAGAGTGGAAAAGGATTAACTTAAATTTATTAATGCCAAGGGGAAGGTAACAGTTCCTGACCCTCCAGCTGTATATCCACAGTTTGGCCAGGAACAGGCTCTGCCAGAGGCTAGGGCCAGTGCTACATAGTCTGTGGTTAATGGAGGTGTCTCAGGGAGGGGTGAGCACACCAGCTGCTCTAGGCTCCTTTCCTTCCCCAGAAATGAGGAAGTGGTCATTTATTATTTTTAGGAGTTCCCCTCCCCACCCAAACCTCTCAAAATTCAGGGGCAATCAGGTACAAGTTCGTTCTTTTCCTTTTCACCCCCTGGAGTCCTGGGTTTCCCCATATTGTTCCCTGCCCCCCCACAATTCCACAGTCCAAGGGCCAGAGTAAGAATCCAGCAGCCCACCCCAGCAATGGGGACTGTGCTGGGGCTTCAGTCATCAGCATCTTCGCTGGAGTCTGAGTTGGCTGGCATCATAGGATCATCGATGAGTGAGAAGTCCCTTTCTGAGCTATCATAGCCCTGAGATAAATCCTCATCATCTTCATCCTCATCCTCATCGTCCTCCTCAGGTTGCAGTGTTGGTAACCGCAAGGCAGTACCAGAAGTGGTAGTCGCTGGTGAAGAAGGGTAGCCAGTGGCTCTCAAGCCTGGATGGTGATGGTGGTGATGGTGGGGGTGGGGGTGGTGGTGGTGATGATGAAGCATGGTGCTGGAGTCTACATGAGGGGATGATGCTGCACCACCCATCACAAACGGCATAAAAGGCAAAGATGCAGAAGTGGCACTGGTGTGACCCAGAGATGACACTGACTGTAGGTTACTACTGCTGTGTTGGAAGGTGTTATGCAGAGATAGAGATCCAGTGCCTCCACCCTGCATCAGGGCCATCATCTTAGAAAGGTCTGGCCGCGTCCTACGGGCACGCTTCTTGCTGCTCTCTGGTGCGATTGGCCCAGGCAAAACCCGGTTGAATGCAGTTTCAGCATAGTGACCCTGGGAGGGAGAGACAAAGACAATGAAAAGGAAGGGGGGGGGGGGGGTGGCGGCGCCATGATGGAGAAACCAGTAGTGTCCTAGCTTAGAGATGCGTTTTAGTGGATCTAAGAGGCAAAACAAGTGTAGTCACATTAGGCTTGACTGGTGGCAATGGGAGTGAGGGAATGCTACACTTGATACCAAGCTAAGATCACTGATTTGGTACTGACAGCCACATGAACCAAGAGGTTTTGTTTCTTTGACATGCTATCATAACTACTGCAGTGACCATCTCACACCTTTCTTAGCAAGAGATCTGAGTAAGACAGTGAATGCATCAGTACATGTACAAGAAAAAATGCACTTGTTCACATGATCTTACCTTGTGAAGTGCAGGACAACTACACAGACAGTTACAGCTAACCTCTATTAGCACTGAAGGGCAGGGTCAGATTAAGACATCTAGATGTCTGTAACGCCAGGAAGTTTATGGATAACTTACCAATTTAATAAAATGATTTTTCTAAAATGATAAAAAAAAAATCTGCCAGGTATGGTGGCTAATACCTCAGCCTTTGAGAGGGTGAGGCAGGAGAACTGCCCAGAGTTCAAGGCCAGCTTGGGATACAGTTACTTCCAAGCTAGCCTGGACTACCAAGACCCTGACTAAAAACAAAAACAAAAACAAAAACAAAAAACCCAAAACAAAAAAACAACCTCTACAACAAAACAAGCATTATAAATCTTTACATATCTGCTGAATTAAAAAAAATGTTTTTTTCCCTAGATGGTCTCAGTTCTAAGATCAGTAAGGCTGGAAGTTGTGACCTGCTTTGCTGTCAACCTAAGCACGATAGTGGGTGAACTGGCATTAAGCTCATACTTATGTCTCTGGACATTTCCAAGACTTAAAATCTAAGCCAAGGGACTGGAGAGATGGCTGAGTGGTTAAGAGCACTGGCTTAATTCCTAGCACCCACATGGCAGCTTATCTGATGCCCTCTTCTGACCACTGAGGGCACTGCATAACACAGGTACACTTACAAACATGCAGGCATTACACTCATACAAATAAAACAAATATTAAAAAACAAAAATATCTAAGCCTAACAGCTAACATGGAAAAATACATTTTTGACATGGAAAAAAATTTAATACTTATTGTGTAGACTTCAAAATCTAAGTACAATACCTAACTCCTGTGGGCTTCAGTAATAATGTAGAGCTAGAATTACTATCAATTTTACACTAAGAATTAAGAACATTGTTCCTGGCAAGGAGGCATATGCCTGTAGTCCCAGCGATTGAGGACAGAGAGGAACGAAGATTACTGGAGCCCAGGAGTTTGGAAATAGACCAGACAGCACAGCAAGATTGATCATTCATTCATTTTGGTGTTTCTGAGACTGGGTCTCCCTGTAACCCCAGCTAGTCTGGAACTCCCTGTGTAGACCAGGCTGGCCTTGAATTCAGAGATCTGCCTGCCTCTACCTCCTGAGCGCTGGGATTAAAGGTCTGAGCCACTAAACCCAGCCCAGTTTCCCATCTTTAAAAATTTTTTAAAAAGGGGGCTGGGGAGATGGCTCAGTGGTTATGAACACTTGCTGTTCTTCTAGAGGACCCAGGTTTGATTCCCAGCACCCATATGGTGGCCTACAACTGTCCATAACTCCAGTTCCAGGGGCTCTGACACCCTCTTCTTGCCTCTGTGGGGCATTGCACACATGTAGTACACTTACATACATGCAGCCAAAACACTCATACACATTAAGGTCGACAGGCTTGTATAACAAGCACTTTTACCTGCTTAGTCAAATAGCTATAAGCTTGGTATGAAATAACCTAGTAATGAAAACTGTCATGAATTTGTAAAACATGGTTTCCTGTGCTTTTTCCATTCCTGACATTTATTAATGATTTTCAATCTAATAGGAAACTTCATGAATGTTTTCTTTAGGAGCCTTACTTATTCCTGATCACTCCTAAAATATATGGAATTGTAAAGCTTTTAAGAGATTATCTAACTGATGATATATATAGCTCAGTGATAGAGCATGAGGTTCTGGGTTTAATCTCTAGCAAAAGGGGAAAAAGTATTTTACACTTAAGAAATTTATTATTTTTAAATTTTGTGTGTATGAATGTATTGCCTGTGTGTATGTAAGTGCATCTGTGTTGTGCAGTGCCTTCGGAGGTTAGAAGAAGAGGGTGTTGGATCCCCTCGAACTGGAGATATGGACAGTTGCTAGCCGCCATGTGGGTGCTAAAAATTGAACCTGGGTCCTCTGCAAGAGTAGCCAGTGCTCTTAAACTACTGAGCAATCTCTCCAGTCCCTAATTCTTCTACTTTCATATGCTTAAAGTACTGCAGTTGAGAACACCAGTAAAAGTACTTGGTAAATTAAAGGCAGTTTTACTGGGAAAAGCGTCAAAGTCTCAATCATCAGGAAACTTCATAGACTACGGAGGACAGTGTGAGATTAGTGACGATGATTTGGGCTCACCTTTTTTCCATTTCTAGAGTTAGCTGTCTGTACTGGTTCCATTCCCAAACAGTTCAATTCTGCCTTATTATTTTTTTTACATCTCTGCCACTTCTGTTTTCTACGTTCTTCCATATACTGCAATAAAAAAGAATCAATTAGCCTAGAGGAATGGAGATCGCCTCTGGACTAATATTAAGGAACTATTGTCTTTTGTTTGACAATAAATGCTTATTGTATAAACAAAGGTAAGTCACAGTGGGAAATTGCCCTTAAGTAGATCTCTCCCCCCAATTGGGTGGTTTATGTAAGTTTAACAGTAAATATTTTCCAACCATTTAGTTTAAGAGGTGCCTTAAAATTGCATTTTGGCTCTCAGAACAATTCAGTAAGAAGCCTGGGTATTTTTATTCCTGTCTTGCAGACAAAGACAGTGATACAATATGGCATGCTTCCTCCCTCTCATACACCTTAAATACCAAGAGAATGGCTTTAAATCTGGCTGGATGGAACTGCCACTCACCGCTAGAAATCGGGGATCAACAGCAAACTCTGGATGACCCTGTAACCACATTTCCAGTTCCGCCCGGCGTGGGGCATCCTCACCCACCAGCAAAGTACCATCCACTTTATTGATGACAGGGATTCGGGTCTCCAGGTCCAGATCAAGGTGATTAGGCTCTTCCGTGCACTCCACTTCCAGCTGCAAACCCAGAATCCACCCCCGTGAGCACATACACTTTTTTGGAGCACAGAGGGAAGGGGAGGACAAGCCAATAGTCATGAGGTAACTCTTTTTTTTTTTTGGAGACAGGGTCTCACTATGTAGCCCTTGCTGGTCTGGAACTCACTGTGTGGACCTGGATGGCCTTGAACTCAACAGAGATCCACCTGCCTCTTATTCCTGTGTTGGGAATAAAGGTATGTGCCACGACACTCAGTTCATGAGATAGAATCCCACTGCCTTTGATTACTCATGATATAAAGACCTTATCTAATCACAAAGTAAAAGAGTTTCTTTACCACTTACCTCTACTAGCTTTTTCCTGTTCCCTTTCTTCTTATGAAACAGAGGGTGCCCATCTCCCATAACACCATTAGCCATTAATCTGTGCTTCTGGAATGTTAACTTCAATCCTTCTTCCTAGGAAGACACCCCGCCCATCAAAGACACTATATGAAACATGTTATCATAATAAAAGTAAACATAAGGGGCTGAGAGATGGCTCGGTGGTAA